AAACCCAACACATTAAATTACACATTAAACAGCATTTTTGTCCAGTCAAAATTAGTCAAGTTGAAAGGGCAGTTGTTTAAGTTTAAGTTTTATTTTATTTATATGCCGCCCTATTCCCTAAAAGGGACTCAGGGCGGCGAACAACTTAAACAGGAAAGGGAAACATACAAGTACAAAATAATACAAATATTAAAATGACCAACAACCACACCTGTCGAGAGGGGAGGGGAGCTCATCAATCACAGGCCTGCTGACACAGCCAGGTTTTAACGGCTTTTCGGAAAGCAGGGAGAGAGGTGAGGGTCCGAATCTCTGCGGGGAGTTCGTTCCAAAGGGCCGGAGCTGCAACAGAGAAAGCCCTCCCCCGGGTCATAGCCAGATGGCATTGGCTGGTGGACGGAACCCGGAGGCCGGCCCTGTGCGATCTAATGGGTCTTTGGGAGGTAATTGGCAGCAGGCGGTCTCTCAAGTACCCAGGTCCAATACCATGAAGAGCACACTCTCATAGAACCAGTAGAAAAAGATTTGGAATCCCATCACAGGATAATCCTAATTCATTATCAGAAATTTTATTGCACATTTATGAGTCCAAAATCAGTTTAGCACTAAAAGCCAAAACAGATTATGCTATTAGTTAAGCTTTTTTATTTCTTTCATTCTTTTCAAGAAATCTGAGAATTCTGGGGCATGTCTTAGAAAATGAAAAAAAAATCAAAATTCTGATGCTAGGATGAATGTTCTAAATCCAAAAATAATCAGGGAAAACATCTCTTTTGCTCTATTTTTGGATGGTGTCAGTTTCAAGCCATGCAAAAAAAGAGGTTTCCTTCCTTTTTAAAAGCACTACTATCTTTGGTTTGTTGTGAAGGAAAAATATAAATCATCTTTTGCCTCCAGACCTTTGGCAAGAACAAAGGGTGAGGCACTTTAGTCTCTTTGATTCTTCTTCCTTTCACCAAGTTCTTGTTTTTACATTTGCAAGAGTGCAGCTTGTTTGTACTTTTTTCTTTGAAACTAGAGTAAAACCTCAATCTAGTTGGACATTCCCACGGTATATGCTTCTCCATTGCATAACTTAAATATTGCACACCAATTAATTCAAATTACAAAGCAAAAAAACTATGCTGAGTGCACACAAAAATTCCAGATGGTAGGACCCATTTCGCAATAGAATAAATTGTTTCAGAAGATGATGGACTCTCTACCACTAAAAGTTTTCAAACACAGGTTAGAATCAATCCTTAAATGTGCTGAGCAGTGGTTTTCTTATACAGGTAGTCCTCAACTTACAACAGTTCATTTAATGACTGTTCACAGTTACAGCGACCCTGAAAAAAGGACTTTTGACCATTTTTCACACTTATGATCCTTGTAGTATCCTCATAATCATGTGATCAAAATC